AACCGAAATCCTAAAATTTGATATTAAGGTCACTGTTGGTATCTGAGATTGTTAATATGGAGATGTTTTGAAAATTCGGAAATTTGCCATTCGGTGAAGGGATAGAGCTAGTTAAGAGTTGAATTTGTGTTCAACTTCACCATACTTTACTTTTTGCTTTGTTTCTTTAGTTTTTATACCCTCCACCATACTATGGAGGGTATATTAATTTTGTCATTCCGTTTGTAACTCCTCGAAATACTCATGTCAGACCCAACAAAGTATATATATTCTTGATCAGCGTAAAATTCTAAGAAGATTTAGCCATGTCCGTCTGTCTGTCTGTGTGTCTGTCTGTCCGTCCGTCTGTCTGTCTGTTGAAATCACGCTATCTTTCGAACGAATTGAGATAGAAGACTAAAATTTTGCACACATGTATATTTTGCCACTAGGCAGGTTAAGTTCGTAAATGGACCATGCAGGTCCACTTTTCCATATAGCCCCCATATAACGGTACCTCCTGATATTCGGTATTTTGGTGATTTTAGCGACATTATTCACCGGAATTGTTTCGAATTTGCTATTTTAAGTTCGTAATGGATACTACAGCGTAAGACAGAAAATTATCTGTGAAGGTCCACGTCTTCATATAGTCCCCATATAACGGTACCCCCCGATATTCGGTATTTTGATGATTTTAGCGACATTATTTAGCGGAATTGTTCCAAATTTGGTATTTGAAGTTCGTAATAGATACTGCAGCATAAAACAGAAAATGGGTCATGTAGGTCCACGTCTTCATATAGCCCCCATATACAGTACCCCCCGATATTCGGTATTTTGATGATTTTAGCGACACTATTTACCGGGATTGTTTCAAATTTCGCATGTGAAGTTCATAATGGATACTTCAGCCCATGCCAGAAAATTGTCTGTGCAGGTCCACGTCTACGTATAGCCCCCATATAACGGTACCCCCTATATTCGGAATTTTGATGATTTTAGCTACTTTATAAACAGATTTTTCTTCAAGTTTTGCATTTAAATATTGTAATAACTAATGACAAAAGTTGCCTATGCAGGTCCACGTCGTCGTATAAGCATTCGGTATTTTTAAGATTTTAACAAAATTTTTAACGGATTTTATTTATTTTTTTTTTTTTGGAAATTGCCAAATTTGTACCAAATGGTGAAGGGTCTTAAAAGTTCGGCCCGGCCGAACTTACAGCTCTTTTACTTGTTTGAATGCTTGTTTTCTGGCTCGGAGATTCAAACCAGCGACCTAAGATGTTTTAGTCGGAGCAATTCACTTTGCATCGTTGCCCATTACATAGTATGCTATAGGTAATTTATTTTGGCTTGTAAAGTTTATAGGAATAATTCATTGCTTTGGTAATTAAGAGAATATGCAATTTCATTTGTTTACATTACAACATAATGGGTTATCCGGCTCCCAAGTTTTTGCTGGGTAAGGAGTCGAAAATTAAAAAAAAAGATCTTTGGTAAAATATGATTTCATGTACTTCTTCTTTGAAGAACCCCAGATATACAAGTGGTAGTAGAATAAAATACGCAAACAAAGCTTTTGCTTCATTCATTCAACACAATGATGGACTTTTAACTCAAGGGTAGGGTAGAGCAAAAAAGACGCATAAACAACGAGTATTTGAACATTTTGGTGCTGTGCCTAAAGAGGGGTTGTATTTTCGTTGGCTACGACGCATTTGTCAAGATTTTTTGGGTATGGACAGACCGGCTGACTGCATGCATTCATTCTCGGTCGTTCGTGCGTGTGTTATGCTGCTGATGATGATCGTCGTCGTCGACCCGACATAGACCTAAATAATTTAGTACATACTGGCTGACACAGAAAAAACGCACGCACATGCACATAAAATGCGTTGCGTTTGCCCACCAATACCAGTGTAAATGTTCCAAATTCCCAAAAAAAAAAAAAAAACAAAACTTACATAAAACAACAACAGCAACACAAACGACACTATCTAACGCAACCGAAACAAAAAGTAGGTCACATTAACGCAATGAGCTCATTTCTTCCTCCTCCTCCTACTGCTGCGTCTCTGTCGTTAATAACGTCATTTGAAACTTTGGAGGCATAGGTTTCCATGTTGTTGTTGTTGCTGTTTGGTGCGTATATTATTTGTTTTGTTGTTGTTGTTGTTATGTTTTGTTGTACTGTATGTGGCAATAACAGAAAGCCGCTAAATATTTCTTTTTCTTATTTGTTTCCAAAGAAAACAGAAGAGCATTCATAAAAACGCATTTTACACAGCTTTATGGCAAGACGTTGAGACTTTCAAGAAGACGAAGAAAGAAAAAAATGCGCAACACTATTTGGTAGCTGGGTGGTTTTTATTTTTTCGGAGGAGGAGGAGGGGAGGAATTGGCCCATGTAAAATTTTCAAATATTAGAAACAAACAAGTCATTACTATATGACGTCATAAAATAACATGCATATGGTATTACAACATGTATGAAGGTATGTACTTATGTACAACATTTTTGGTGTACAGTTGTCGAACGCAATTGCAATGAGGCGAACATTTTTTTTTTGCTTTGCGCAATTGCCGATCCTCGGACATGGTTTCAAGCCATATGATGGCTTTAAAAGCAGACTCTTGAAGAAGAAAACATTGTGGTTCCATAATTGATAAAAAAGAGGAAATAGTAGGCAAATGTTGCTTAAAATCTCTCTGAAGTTGCATTTCTAAAATTCAAAGCAAAAACTTGAGAACAATTTCTAAATTTTTTCTAATTTTTTTTTTTAATAATATTAAGCTAGAAATGGAAATTATTTTCATTATTTTTAATATTATTTTAATATTTTAAGAATTGGAAATTATTTTCATTGATTGTTTTTATTAATATGCTGTAATACTTTTGCTTGCTGGGCAAAGGGCTTCCGCACACAAATTGTCGACACACACACACACATCGAAATGGGGTCAAAAGCGCAATAAGGGAAATTATTAAAGAAAATAACAAAATTAACAATTAATAACATAATTATGACGTTGTGGCTACGGGAAGTTGTCGTGAATTTAATTCAAAAATACAAAAAAAAATGGTAGAACATTTTTTGAATATTAATTTTCACTTGAAGTTGATACTTTACAAATGGTCAACATAGCGCCAGAATTTTGACTTTCGATTTCATGAAGGTTGATAATTTCGAATACAATATTACAAAATCCTAGTCGAGGTCAATAAAGAGTTTTTTTTTTTGGAGATTACTGATATTTTATGAGGTAAAAGGGCCCACTACTTCGTCAGCGAAAAGTCCAGCTTAAGATTTTAGAATCGTTCCAACAGTTCGTGTTAGGTCTTTTAAAGCCCTCCACCATAGTCTGGAGAGTATACTAAGTTTGTCAATCCATTTGAAACACCTCAAAATATACATTTTAGACCCCACAAAGCATATACAGGGTGACATAAAAATAACTGCAACAAAGTCAAATGCCATAATTTTTACATTTTTTTATTTTAATTTTATTGAATGAAAGCAAAAAAGGTCGGAAATAGCATCAAATTTAAGAATAAGTTTAGATTTGTTAGAATTGGTCACCTTTGGTGCGAATTATGGCCTTCAAACGGCCAATGAAACCGTCACACGCTGCCCGAATGTTGCTCTGCGGAATTTTGGCACATTCCCGGCGAAGCGCTTGCTTCGAAATGAGCTCGGGGTAAAGCCATTGAAATTGCAAAAAGTGTAAGAACTTACAGCGCAACAGAAAGAAAATAGACTCAAAAGAGCTAAAGAGTTGCTTCGCTTGGCCGAAAGTGGGGAACTGCCGAATTTGGTTTTCTCCGATGACAAAACATTCGTTGTCCAGCAGTTTGTAAACAAACAAAATTATCGTGTTTACTTGCCGAAGAGGTAAGCTTCAGCTGGCCACCAGAACTCAAGCGCCGGCCATGGTGATGGTGTGGGCCGCCATAACGCCATCAGAATAAATGCCGAATATTATCGCGAAAATATTCTGGAGCGTGTATTAAAGCCTTGGGCACGCAAACATTTTGGCCGCATACCTAGGACATACCAACAGGACTCAGCACCATCGCACTCAGCACGCGCCATTCAAGAATGGTTACAAAATGAGGTTCCTCGCTTCATTTCCTGCGCACAATGGTCACCAAAATTTCCGTATACTAATCCATTGGACTATTGTGCCTGGAGTATTTTTGAAAGCTAGGTTGGCACTAAAAAATGCCAAAGTATCGATCACCTCAAGCATGCACTTAGCTGTGAATGGGCCAAAATACCGCAAGGCAACATTTGGGCAGCGTGTGACGGTTTCATTGGCCATTTGAAGGCCATAATTCGTGCCAAAGTTGGCCAAATCGAACAAATCTAAAGTTATTTTAAAATTTTATGCCAGTTCCGACATTTTTTGATTTCGTTCAATAAAATTTAAAAAAAAAATGCAAAAATTATGGCGTTTGACTTTGTTGCAGTTTTCTTTATCTCACCCTGTTTGGTACACATTTCCCATACCACTAATATATGCCCTTGGCTACACCTGTCTTGCACTTCAATACAGGGACTCTCATTCCAAATTTCAGAATTTTAGCTCATTCCGTTTGTCGAATATAAAGTAGTAAATTTTAGTACTTTTCGTACGCTTTTAGTACGAATTTCCCAAACCCAAAATCCTTGTGCAAAATTACAAAATTCTAGTTACATCCGTTTCATCTGGACGTTGTTTTCAACCGAAAAAAACATGTGTGGACTCTGGTCAAAATTCCCCGTGTTCTTGTCTTCAATATTGCCGAGGACACTATAAACCTAAAATCAACAGATTCCAAGGAAACTTAATCTGAAAATAAAAAAAAAATGTGGACCTTGTCCTCTTAATTTAGGCTACTTTGCGATGTAAATCGTCAAAACGCCCATGCACTCGTCTTCTATTCTAAGCTCTACTTTCATAATATGCTGGATCTGTAATTTAAGAAAATGTTTTTTTTCAATTTTTTTATTTTCAAATAAAACTCAACTTACCTTTTTCAATGGAAAGAGTTCCTTGCTGTTGATTTTATTCGAATTTCCTTTGTTGATGATGACGTTGAATATTTTCTTTTACACGAAAATATATATATTTTTTAATTTTTTATAAAAAGTTTTTGTTTACGTTTTTTGGGGGGGGGGTTGTTTTTTTTTGTTGTTGTTGATTTTTTTTTTTTTAGATCGAAACGAAATTTTTCTAGCAAACTTTTTAACTATTGTTGTGTGTTCAAAGTTTGCTGTTGTGTGTGTCCAAACCAATAATTTTGAAAATAGTTCCCAATTTGTTGTGAAAAGTTTTTCGCTGATTGTTGTAACTTGCTTGTTTGAATATTTCGAAATTTTCAAAACAAAATTTTATTTGATTTTTATTTAATTACACTCTTATGTGGTCGTCATCCTTTTGGCGGGTTAGACGAGATTTTTGTTTTTTTTTTTTTTTCAAAAGAATATATTTAAAAGTTACATTAAAAATTTATATTTTTTCCATTAATTTTTAATTAATATAATATTTTTTGTTTTTTTTTTTTAGATGATAAAGATGATAATTTATATGATTTTTTATTTTAAATAGATATTTTTAATATAATGTTTAATTTTTTTTGTTGTATTTTATGTTATTACATAATTATGGTAAATTAATGAATATTTTTGTGTGTGATAATATTTTTATGCCGAAAAAGAATTTTTTCTATTTTACAAAATACACTTTTTTGGATTTTTTATTATTTTTTCCTTTTTTACCAAAATATGCCAAATTTTTTTTTTTTTTTTTTACTTTTGAGTTTAGCCAAACTTGTTTTTTTTCTACCGAAAGATTCCGTTTTTTTTTTTGTTTGCCTTGTTTTAAGCCAATTAATTTTGTTGTTAATTTTTATGCCAAAAATGTTTCATTTTTTTTTAATTTTTTAAATTTCACATTACAACCATTTTAGGTTTTTGCGTACGATTCAAATTTTCTTGATGTTTCCGTGTGGCGTTATTTCCATGGGCAGTTGTTGTTCTGCTTAATAGATAATGCATTGCCGTTGACATTTTGTTGTCACTTGGATGCCGCTGAGAAAGGGGATAATTATCTGCAAAAAATAAAAAAAAAAAAACATTTTATGAAATAATTTTTTAAATAAAAATTAAATAGTGAAATATTTTTTTAAATAAAAATACAATTCTTCTCAGTGCATACAGTGAAACGAAAAATAAAAAAAAAAAAAATCGGTATTGTGAAAGTGTCCAAACTTGGTTTTATCACAGCTGAAACTGGTACCCAGTTGGAGACTGGTTTCGTCAACATGAGACGGATCAGTTAGAGAGGCATTGATCTTGAAATCTCTAACTACTAGTCATTTATTAAAAGTTTCTCTTTTCAGCGTCGCATCGGATGCACTACTCTCTGCTCTCTCAAAATGTCTTCTCTTCATATCCCATAAAATAGAGCGACATTGCAAATCTGTTCAAACCCAAACTGCATGACCGAAAATTTTACTAACTAAACAAACAAAAACAAATCAAATTTTCATTATTTTCCCAAGCAAGAGAAATAAATCACAATACAAAAGGAAAAAAAAAACAAAACTTTGAAAAACAACCCCATTGCATGCCACATAGTTATATGTTTTTTTTTTGTTTTCTTCTCTGCTGTGATATATCTGTGAGTTATATTTTCTCATTCTCTTTCTCCACCACGGGTTTCATTGAATCGTAGCAAACCCCATGTCCAACTCTCCACAGAAGAAAGTCACAAAACAAAATAAGCCGCATGCAAGGCGGGCAACGTATGATAATAAATACAGTGGTGAGAACAACAAAAACGGAGATGATGATGATGTTGTTGTTAATGATGATTAGGGGTTTTAGAGTCCATTAAATTAAATATGAATATGGAAAGCAGGGCAGGAATAAAAACACTTGCACACGAACTAAAAAAATAATACACATGCAGTACAAAGTTTCGAATAAAACATAACCCAGCATACATTGTGGATGGGAAACAAAAGCCATATCCCACAACATTGAAGAGGTTGAGAAAATTAGCTCTGATTTCAATTAAAAAAGCAGAGCTTTAAAATCCTCTCTCACATTCGAGTAGAGAGGAAAAATCGCTTGAATTCTCTCGGCAGTAAAAAAAGGAGATCGAGTAAAAAATAATTGTATAACACCCCATGAATATGAACGAATATGCTCATAGTGAGAGTAAGATCCGAGCAGATTCTAGCTTTAAATTTTGTTCTAAGACATGACTGCAAAGAGATTAGCGAAATTTTATTCGTTTGCTTCTTCCTACGAGTGAAAAAAAAAATAAAACGAGTTTTCTTTATTTTGCTATGTCAGCTAAAAGCTACCTCGAATGAAAAAGTATAAACAAAACGCATTCTCTGTCGATTTTTATTTGCCATTGATTTGACAGGGCAAGAGTATCTTACCCCTGGTAAAGCAAATATTTTGAGCAAGTCTGTTCTACACCACTCGGGCAAATAGGCTTTGGTCTTCTGCGAGTGTGAGTAAAATTCGCTCAAGCAGATTCTACTCAACATAAAACAAATTTGTGGAGAGGAAACTTCGCGCAAAACTCCTAGTCTGTGAGAACTCCTGCTCGCGAGCATTTTTCACTCGCGAGTAAAAAAGAGCAAATCAGAGATCTGTTTTTTTTATACACTCCACCATAGTATGGAGGGTGTATTAAGTTTGTCATTCCGTTTGTAACACCTCGAAATATACATTTCAGACCCCACAAAGTTGTTGTTATATATTCTTGATCAGCATAAAATTCTATGTCAATTTAGAATCGTCTGTCCATCTGTGGAAATCACTCTAGCTTCCGAACAAAATGAAGTAAGTAAGTAGGTAAAATTTTACACAAATGTATATTATGTCTGCAGGACTTTTGGTATGGAAAATGGGCCATTTAGGTCCACGTTTTGGTATAGTCCCCATATAGCGGTACCTCCCCATATTCGGTATTTTGATGATTTTTACCGACATTCTTCACCGAAATTGTTTCAAATTTGGCATTAGAAGTTCGTAGTGTATACTACAGCCTAAGACAGAAAATTATCTGTGCAGGACCACGCCTTCGTATAGCCCCCATATAACGGCACCTCCCGATATTCGACATTTTAATGATTTTAGCAACATTATTCACCGGTATTGTTTCAAATTTGGGATTTGAATTTGTTATTTAAAGTTCGTAATGGATACTACAGCCTAAGACAGAAAATTGTCTGTGCAGGTCCACGTCTTCGCATAGCCCCCATATAACGGTACCTCTCCACATTCGGTATTTTGATGATTTTAGCGACATTATTCACCGATTTCGATTTCAAGTTTCGCATTTGAAAAGTGTAATGGCTTGTGACATTTGTATAGACCCTAGATTTTAACAGAATTTTTAACGGATATTTTTTTTTTGAAAATTGCCAAATTCGTTCGAAATGGTGGAAGGTATTCAAAGTTCGGCCCGTCCGAACTTAAAGCTTGTTAACTTGTTAATGGTTCGAAAGATCATTTCGATATTTTATAGATGTAAGCTATTTGTTGCAACAAAATAATTTCAAATTTAGACTTCGTAATGGATATCATCCCCTAATTCGGAAAATGGTTTATACAGGGCCAAATATAAACCCCATATAACTGTATTTGGTATATTGACGATTTGATCCACATTTTCTAAAGGAATTCGAACTCGCATTGGGTTCTACCATATGTTACAGAACATTCTCTATATATGTCTACGTCTTCCAAATATATGGACGCTATATGGAGGCTATAGCGATAACTTCCGATATTCGGTTAAAGAACTGAATTAAAGCATTACTATTCTTCTTTTTGACCAAAAATTTCCACAGTGGATTCTCTTGTCTCCTATTGAACCATTGATATTTTACGAAAACTGTGGAGCCTTGAGTCCCCACATGGTTTCTAAATTATATAAAAAAAAATTTGCTTTTTAGAAACTACTTTGCATTTTTTCCCCACAATGTTTACTGGGTTAACGATAAAATCCACAATGAAATCAAAAAAAGAACCAAACATAATTTCGATGGTGACTTGCAGTCCATGTCATCATACCCGAGCCAAGTGTTTATGCCTCCAAACACACATACACACACTTGCAGATATATACACATGCATGTCGATATAAATTTATATGCATCCATGGACAAAAAACTGCAATACTGCATAATTGTGGAAAACAGAGACATAGAGAGAAAGGGAGAGAGAAAAAGGATATACAAGTAAAAATTGTTACGTTTGTGCAGCAGCAGCAACATCGTCGTCATCATCATCATCACCATAGATTCCTTGCAACTACCACCAATTTGCCAGGATTCACAGGCAACCGACCAACCACCACTACCACCCATTTCTATATCGCATGGTTTACATTATGAAGAAGAAGAAGAAGAAGAAAAAGCCGGCTTTCTTGTTTGCACTGCAGAGAATTCAAAACGTGTGTGTGTGTGTGCAGCAACGGCCGGCAGCCGGTTACAGTAGTTGAACAGCTCGATTTTTAACTGCAATGCAATCAACCAACCCTCTTTGTATGGGGTGCTGGGTGGTGTTGTTGTTATTTTATTCTTTTTTTTTTGTTTTGTAAAAAATCCCAATTCATGTAAAATCATTCATTGGAAAATTCATAGTAAGATTTCTGATAAGATTTTCATTTAGTTTTCCCCCTCTTTTATGCGGCGAATGTATGTGCAGGATAAATAAATAAAAAAGGATATGTATAGGCAGGCATTGCAGCAGCAGCAGCCAAGGGGGTTGATGATCTAATCTAAAGTGCATGTTGTGTATATATTCAACTTTTTTCGGCAATTCGGTTTTTTTGTTTGCTTTGATTTTTTGGTATTGCAGGGGTTTGGATTGAAAAGAAAAAATGACAACTGAAAATTAAAAACTGCAATGCTAAAAGGGGAATAAGGGCTTCTACTTGTTTTTAATTTTCCTATGTGAAGTAGTGCAATCGCATCCAATTTTGTAAAAAGCAGCTAGTTTTGAGTTGCAATGTTGAAGGGATAGGGTTTTCTCTCTAACAATACCAGAAAACTAAATTCGGAAAAAAATTCAAAACTAACTAAAAAGGTTGTAGTTTTTCATAAAAGTCCAAAAATTTAAAATTGAAAAATGAGTGCAGACTTTGGCTCTGTTCCAGGACAAAGAAGAATCTAGTCCTGTATTTTTTGTTTACAAATTTTAATACGAAACCGTTACTTACCCCCTTAAAGGGGATAACAATGTTTTTTATTTTACAAATTTGTTAGAGTAAAAAATCATTTTCACATTTCCGAATCTGAATTATTTCATCTAAAATTCAAAATATTCCTGTTTTATTCTGAGAAATTCGAAATAATATAGACAGTTAGTAAGGAAAAGTCAAAAGTCGGGCGGGGTCGACTATATGATACCTACACCACTATGTATGTTTAGTAGAGCTCCCGCAACAAAAGAATTTATTTGAAGTAGATCATGCCACCTATCAACATTTGGCTTCATTTGGTTTCCGAGGGAACTAATATATGGGAGGCATGTCTTATTCTGAATCGATTTTCACTAAATTTGACGGAGATATTTTAATCTTTTAAACCAAATAACATTGCTAAAAAGTGCATGATATTAGGATTATATTCAATATATATATATATATATATATATATATATCGGAGCCGGGTTTCGCAAAATGGAAACCTACGACCCAAAATTCACTCTATTTTGGGCTGATATTAGCCATTATTTGCACAATAAACCTGAATCGGATTAAGAATATATATATATGGGAGCTATATCCACATCTTAGCCGATCTCGGGAAAATTTGGCTCTACAAGATATCTGGTACCAAATATCATTGTTGACGAATGCATATTACGAATGTGAGGGACTTAAAGATCAAATCGTATGAAACATTTATATAGGACCTATAGTTATATCTGAACCGATTTTGACCAAATTTGATATACTTGCTTCTAGACTAAATTCTGTTGGATATGAAAAAATTCAGGTCATTTCGACTGATATTGGCCACTTGGTGCACAACAAACCCGAAATCGTTTGAAGATATATATGGGAGCTATATCCAAATCTGAACCGATCTTGACACAATTTGGCAGAGGCATTTCTTGGCTATGTCTGATATATGGTACCAAATATCATTGTTGTCGAATACATATTACGAATGTGAGGGACTTACACCCCAAATCGGACGAAACATATATATATATATATATATATATATATATATATATATATATATATATATATATATATATATATATATATATATATATATATATATATATATATATATATATATATATATATATATATATATATATATATATATATATATATATATATATATATATATATATATGGGAGCTATGGCTATATCAGAACCGATTTTCACCAAATTTAATGTACTTGCTTCTAGACTAAATTCGGTCGGATGTGAAAAAATTCAGGTCATTTGGACTGATATTGGCAATTTGGTGCACAATTAATCCGAAATCGTTTGAAGTTATATATGGCAGCTATATCTAAAGTGGAACCGATTCTCACCAATTTCAATAGGGTTCGTCTTTGGACTAAACAAATATTGTTTTCATCTCAATCGGATAATAAATGCGACCTGGATTTTTCACAGGAATACATGGACGGACGGTCAGACATGCATAAATCGACTCAGAAAGTGATTCTATGAAGATCTTCAAAAGTAACTATGGGTCTATCTCGCTTCCTTCTCCATATTACAAACAAATGCATAAAGACATAATACCCTTACCACTATGTGGTGTAGGGTATAAACAGCATTTTAAAAAATCGGAACATTGAATTTGTATTCCTTTAAAAATTTATATTCATTTTCGACCTGTATGAAAAATGTATTCTTTAAAAATTTACGATAGCATAATTTCAACTAATTTAGATGTTTTTTCAATTTGTAATAAATATTTAAAATACATGTTATTGATCGAACAGTGTTATTCATTTTGAAACTCAAATAAAAAAAAATATTAAAATCGAAAAATTTAAATTGCAAAACAAATACGAGTTATAAACTAAAATACATAGTTGGAAATACAAATGGAAAAATCGAATTTCAAAGAAACATCGAATTTGTTGAAAATACATATTGCGAAAATTGCGAATTATAGCTGTGAGAATTAATATAAAAATTTGTAATTTGAAGACAGCATTAGAAATTGATATTATTTTTATTTACAATTGTAATTTGAATTATTTCTCTTTTTTTGTCAAATTATTTCGTTTGTAATTCATAACTTGCATTTGGTATTTGAAAATTTATTAACGAATTATTTAATTTATAAACCAAAATCTTGTATTTTAAAATTTCGATTTTGGCTTTCGATTCCGTAAATTCTGAGAGTCAAAGAGAAACTGCATCATAAAAAATAGTTTATTGAAAAAATATCTAAACGCCCTGCCTATAACAGTTATATTTATATCGAAGGTATATTCATTTATTACAAAATCTAACATTATAAGAAAAAAAAAAAAACAAGGAAAATCAGCAATAGGGTTTTACAACACTGAAAATTCCAATATTTCAAATTCGATCCGAAAGGTCAAAATTAGCAATTTGAACTTCGTTCTTATGGCGTAATTCAAGCCAAAAATGTAGATAGTTTTCTTTTTTCAATAATTAAGGAAGAAAAACTGTAAACCATTTTCAATATAACCAATATGGCAATACCGGATATAAGAAAGTTTCTTGATGGAATTAAAAAGGTAATGTCATTTGACAATATTTCATTGTCAAAATGTTTATTTACAAATTCATGGCATATTTACAAATCAGAGATGGAAACAATTTTTCCATACAGAATTAGATTGTGTTGTTTACAGCTTAAGCGATATATACCTAATTCAGGGAGGAGACATAAAAGTTTCACCTGTTAGAAAATCAAAATCAATTCGAATTTGACCCGTAGTTCCTGTTTTTGATATTCATAGGCTCATATTCTAAAGAGATTTATGCATATTCGTTTGTCCGTCCATTTGCCGATATATATTTTTCAAGACGCATTCATTGTCAGATTGAGATGCAATTTTCCACAAATCATTTGTTTGGCCCAAGGACGAACCCTCTTGAAATTGGTGAGAATCGGTCCTAATCTAGATATAGCTCAAGTAGATATCTTTCTCCAATTTCTGTTTTATTGGGTGCCATATGTGTAATATCCGTCCAAATAGGATGGAACTTGACACATGCGACCAGATTTATCCGAAAGCAAACATGTCAAATTTTCTGAAAATCGGTTTAGAGCTATAGCTCCCATGTATATGTATCATCCGATTTGATGTTTAAGTCCATCTCTTCCGTAATACGCACTCCACAATAATAATATTTGCTAACCGATATCTTATACAGCTCAGAAATACCTCTGTCAAATGTTAAGATATTTGTTTAGATTTAGATATAGCTCCTAAATTTATCCGATTTCTGGTTTATTTAATTTTTAGAATTGGTGTTTGTACCTCCCATATATTATTTCCCTCTGATTCCAAATCATAACTGCTCTTCAAAACACATAAATTCCCAAATATAAACGTTTGTTAAGGGTAGCTCTACTAAATATGCATAGTGGTGTAGGGTAGCATATATAGTTGGCCCCCGCCCGACATTTGACTTTTTTCAAAATACTCTGTGTTTTTTCCGACTCCTTTTCAAAACTGGTGTTTTTTCAATATTTCCTCCATCTTCGAATCTGACTTCTTTTCAAGAAATCTAAAAATATTTTAGGTCTCCCCTTTGAACAAAAAAACTCATCCAGAATTGATTCCAGATTTTGAATACATAAGTGTATAAATGAAATACATGAATGTATAAAGGCCAAAATTGATCAAATATTTTGAAACTCAGAGAAGGAAGTCTCTGAAAGAGGACTTCAAAAAAGGCGTCTTAATGAATGATCGATAATCCCAAATTTTCGAGTTGTTATTTGATTCCATTTAAATGTCCAAACTGTTATTCAATCTTGTTTTAGTTTCAAAAAACGGTGTGGGTACTCATCCTGAAATCTTATTTTAATATCCAAACTTTGGTGGTAATCCATTTGTATTTTTCAAGGTATGCAAGGAGATCTTTTTTATATATTTTTTTTTAATTTTACAGTTTAATTTTTTTCTTTTTTTTTTTTTTTTTTTTTGTATTGAAGACAATTTTTTTTCTTTTCTTGAAATAATAAATTTTATATATCAGCAATGTCACATAAATTTTCGTTATTGTTTCAAAATTCACATAGTTTTTTATCTCTTGAAATCTTTTCATATTTTTATGACACTCGTTCAGACATATAAATATTGTTTTATTTTGTTTATAGGGTATCAATTTTTTATATTCATATCTTATATACATATATTTTCAATTGTTATTGTTCACATTATTTTTCAACGAATTTTTAATTTTTAAGTATTTTTTTTTTAATTTTTTAAGTATTTTTTTTTTATTTTTTTAAAAAACAAATACAATTTTAATATATATTTTTTTATGTTCATAACAAATAATATTTTTAATACTTGTGGGGAGTTTGAAATATAAAACATAGAATATTTTTTTCATTTTTGATGGATATTTTTAAAAAAATTATTTCATTTTTTGTTATTATTATTTTTTTTTTTTTTTGCACCAAGTTTTCCACTTCTCACTTCATTTTTCTGCCGTGTCACTTATTATCCTCCTATGCTTTTATTATGTTGGTTCTTTTTTTAATAACTAATAAAATTATTACCGCTTTTTCTGCCATGCAAAAGCGATTGTTTTGCAGTTTGTTGTTGTTGGTGTTTTAATGCCTACTTCTACCTCAAAGGAGAAGCTGATAGCTAGCTGGATGGATGCACTTTTCCTGCACTGCTTGCTTGCTTGCTTTAAGGGATGTTTCTTGATTTCCTTTGCTTTTCTTTATTCTCTGGAAAATTGTTTTATTTTATATTTTTCTTTCAATTTCCATACAAAAAATTGTTTTCTCTTATTTTTTCGAAATAAAATTCCTTTTGTTTATATTTTTTGTTTAATGCATTTCTTGCTGACGGGGGGAAAATGGGTATTTTGCAAATGTTATTGTTGTTATTGTGTGGTGGAAGGAATTGTTGTCGAATTTTGTTGCTATTTTGTTGTTGTTTTTTTCTACTATTTTTGTTGATTGATTTAAATTTGTTTTATTATTGTAGTGGATTTTTGTTGTTGTTAATTGAATTGATTTTTTTTATGTTGCTGTGTTGTTGTTGTTTTTTTTTTTTTAATTTATTTTGTTGTATTTCGGTTTGAACAAAAACTTAAGAAAAAACGTTACGAGACGTGTAATAGTGCACACACTGCGACGAGCGAGCGAGCACCTCCGAAACCTAGGTCCGAATAGACGAACATGAAATTTGTGAATTGCGTTTCTGGCCCACCAACCACCGAAAACCACTGTATGCTTTGGCTGCGTTGCGTTGTGTCACTCACGGCTTGCTTGCCAGCTTGCTTTCAGCAAATACTCAACCAGAGTCAGTTCAGTGGTAGTGGCAATCGCAGCAATAGAAGCACACACACACACACAGCCACACGCATACAGTACAGCGCAGCACTAACAACAACAACAACAACAACAAAGGCAGCGGCACACCACTAACTTAACTTGACGGCGAGTAGAAAAAGGCAAACGCAAGTGTTGTCAACAGAGGCGCAGCGAAGCAGCAAACACCACTCATCATCATCATCGATTCATTCTCAAAACGGAAAAAATGCAAAGAGCGCATTTTAATATGCTGCTGCTGCTGCCCCACTATTGTAGTTCTTGCTGTTGTTAGTAAATGCCATTTGTAGCCCCATATCGCAGACGCACTCGTTAGCTTTACTCACAGAGAGCCGAAGATTCGTTCGTTCACAAAGTTTCCATTCGAACAACATAAACGCAGTCAGTCATCACACAACAAAATTCTAATTCAAATAATAGGCGCTAAAAACGACAGCCTGCAGAGTCGTCATAGAGAGCCGGAAAACAAGAGAGAAAGAGCGCCAAGAAAGCGCAACATTATTGTGTTTACCAAAGACTAGAAATCAGCGGCAGCGCTGTCGCATTGATGCCAGCAGAAAATTGCAAATCCCTTGTGTGGTGTACGAAAAAAAGCCCAAACAACCATTCATTCGGTTGTCCCCCCCAGCACAACGAGAACAACGAATGAACGAACGAACGCAGTAAGAAAACGAAATCCAAAACAAAACACAACACTTTACTCTCAATATAGTATCTCAAACGAACATGTGTGCTCTCGCGAATAATGAATCTGTGAGATACACTCTCTCTGTCTCTGTCTCAGTTTCTGTTTTTTTTTGTTTTAGTTGAGTACATGCGAATGTATGAGTGCTGCAAACCCGAAGTTCGCTTAAGCTCTCGAAGAGTATGGCAAGCCATATCATGGACTGCAAATGCAGAATTTGTGTTTTCGTTTATTGCTGTATTTGCATTTCCCCTTTCTCATTGAAGCCACCGGCATAGAGTTGCCAAATCAGGAGGAATATTTTTATAAATTCAATCATGAGTGTGCCATGAAGACCGGTTGACAAGTTTAAATCGGTTAAGGGAGGAACCCCTTAGTATGACCCCCCCCCCCCCATAGTATGGAGGGTATATTAAGTTTGTCATTCCGTTTATAACACCTCGAATTATACATTTTAAAGCCCACAAAATATGTACACTGGTGACCAAAAACTAAAACAACTAAAACCGCAAAGACAATAAATGCCCTTTAACTCTTACAAAAATAAACAAAATTTCCAGTTTTAAATGAGATACTTTATTCACTTTAAAAAAAAAAAACTAAAAATAAAAATACGAAAACAATTTTGAATGAAAAATTTTATAAAATTATATGGAAAACTAAAATGACCCAATTTTTGCTTGGTCAAAACTAAAGCATCTTTTTATTTCTTATTTTAAAATAATTAAATTTTGGCTACTGGTCGATAGCATAACCATTATTTTTGATAGCAGCTGCACACCTACGAGGCATTGAATCTAAAACACGCTCAATTTGATCCTTGGGTATGCTTTCCCAGGCACCCTGATTTTTTTTGCAAAATGTTGTGTTTATTTGTTTCCGAATCTCGCTTGATCTTCCAGTCTACGATACTCCAAAGGTTTTCTATGGGGTTTAGGCAAGATGATTGTTCCGCCCAAGACAAAATACCAATTTTTGACTCCCGCAACCAATATTTGACAAGTTTTGATGTATGTTTGGGATCATTGTCATGCTGAAACACCCGAATAAGCTGAATATTTTCCTCAGCGAAAGGGAACAACGTGATGCCCAACACATTTTTTTAAACAAACCGATCCATAACTTCCTTTATTGCATGGACAGACCCAAGTCCATAGAAAGAAAAACAGCGCCACGCCATTTTTGACCCTGAGCCTTTAATATTAAACGTAGACTCATCCCAGAATAAAATGTTTTTCCATTAGACTCGATTCCAATTAACATTATCGTTTCCTAAAGCCATCGTGGCTTTTCGATTTTTCAGATATAAATGGCTTTATTTGATGGCTTACGGGCATGCAGACCAGCTACCACTACTCGTCTACGCACTGATCTCGAGCTTATATCCAATGATAACTCTCTCACCAATTCAGTTGAACTCTTAAATTATTGTTTTTTACTTCTCTCACAATTTGTTGATTAGTACGGGCTGAAGCTTTTCACGGCCTTCATTCGTTATAGACTGTTACTACTGATCCAGTTTCATAAAACCGACTTAGTATACGAGAAATCACAGAAATATTTATGAAATGTTTCTCGGAAATCATTTTCTGCGATAGCTTGTTTTCATAGTCACTGATAATTTGCTGTTTTATGCATGTATTGTATTTGTTTTCGTCTGCAGGACTTTTGGAATCGGTATTAAAATGGGATATATAGGTCCACGTTTAGTTATAGCCCCATATAACTGTACCTCCCTATATTCGCTATTTGGATAATTTTAGTGACATTATTCACCGAAATTGTTTAAAATTTTGCATTTAAAGTTCCTAATGGGTACTTCTATATATGACAGAAAATTGTCTATGCTCTTCCATGTCTTCGTATAGCCACCATATAATGTTACCTCCCTATATTCGGTATTTTGCCGATTTAAGCGACATTATTCACCGGAATTGTTTCGAATTTCATATTTGAAGTTCCTAATAGGTTCTACAGCCTATTACAGAAAAATGTCTTTGCAGGTCCTGGTCTTCGTATAGCCCCCATATATCGGTACCTCCCTATATTCGGTATTATTTCAGCGACATTATTTTCCGGAATTGTTTCAAATTTCGTAGATGAAGTTCGTAATGGGTACTGCAATCTATATCAGAAAAGATGTATATACAGGTCTACGTCATCATATAGCCCCCATATAACGATACCTCCCTGTATTTGGTATTTTGATAATTCTAGCGTTATTTTTCACCAGAATTGTATCGAATTCCGCATTTGAAGTTCGTAGTAAACTACAACCTATGACAAAAAATTACTTATGAAGGAACACGTCTTCGTATAATTTCCATATACGAAGATGTATAGTTGAGACGTATTTTTGTACGGAATTTTTTTTTTTTTTTTTTTTGAAAAATTTCAAGTTCCTTCAAAATTTGTAGGGTATTAAAAGTTCGGCTTCTTTTTGTATCCTCAGCCATATGGCTAGAGAGGGTATATATCATTTGATACGGCCAAAACGTGCCTCATCGAAATAACGGTTTTAGACTTAGATCGAGTTCGGAGATGGGCAATATCGATCCACTCATCCCCCAAAAAAGATCGAGATTAAAAAAAAAAAAAAAAAAAAAAAAAAATCCTGCTCGGAAAGAGAAAAAATAATCCAATTTTGATCCAACTTTGCAAATACTAATATTTGCATCAGTGCTAGCTTAGGTGATGTTAGATTCCGATTGTCTTCAAATTACACACATCACAATATTTTTATTAAGGTCTGGTGTGAAGATGGAATATAACGATTCACTCCTTCTGGTACATACCCCACAAAAGGTCAAATTTTTTAATATCCATTAAGCTCATAAAACGCGAAATTAAGATTCGATTCCATTGAGACTTTGCACATCTCAGTATTTTAATCAACACAAGATCTGCTATAAAGGTGCTATAGATCGGACTAATTCTTCTGGCGCCTCCGCTACATAGGGTTCATAATTTTGAAAAACAAAACACTCAAAGAGAGCGAAATAAACGTCAAACTCTCTTCAAATTTCGCACCTAAAAACATTTTTGCTAACATAAGATCTCTTGTGAAAATGATATATATCTGCGAACTCCTTCTGGTACCTCACCCACAAAGCGTCAACATTTTCAGTACTATTGTCTGTCATTACTTCCATATCTCACATATCTCATGAAGTACAGAAAGCAACAATATTGTCGAAACCTACAACGTCGCAATATTTATACCATATTTATTTAGGTCCTATACGAAACGGACAATATTGGCCCATTCCATCGGACCTACTCCATGGAGGGTCAACAATTAGAATAGTCATAACAGAAGTCAAAATATATTTGAACAATCGGACATTGGCGGAGGGTAAACATCTGTCGGAAAATCCGACTGATATTTATACCCTTCACCTTGGAAAGGAGGGTATATTAATTTTGTCATTCCGTTTGTAACATCCTTAAATATTCGTCGTAGACCCCATATAGTATATATATTCATAATCTTCATAAAATTCTAAGACGATTTAACGATGTCCGTCTGTCTGTTGAAATCACGATACAGCCCACATTATTTGACGTAGAGCGCCAAAATTTAGCAGAGCAATTGGTGTCTAGGATGGTTGGTATTGAAAATGAGATATATCGGTCCACGTTCTGGTATAGTCCCCATATAACGGTACCTCCCGATATTCGGTATTTTGATGATTTATGCCACATTTTTTCACGGATTTGTCTGAAAATTGGTATTTGTAGGTCATAATGGGTCCCTTTACGTGTGGCAAAACATTGCATGTATAGGTCCACGTTTTGATATAGCCCCCATATAAAGGTTTTTTGATAATTTTTGCAACATTTTTTAACGGATTTGTTTAAAAATTGGTATTTGTTGGTCATAATGGGTTCCATTTCCTGTGGCGAAACATTGCATGTATGGGTCCATGATTTGGTATAGCCCCCATATAACGGTACCTCCCGATATTCAGTATTTTGATGGTTTTTGCCACATTTTTTAACGGATTTGTCTAACAATTGGTATTTGCGGGTCATAATGGGTCCTAGTTCGTGTGGCGAAACATTGTATGTCCACGTTTTGGTATAGTCCCCATATAACGGTACCTCCCAATATTCGGTATTTTGATGATTTTTGACACATTTTTTCACTAATTTCTCTGAAAATTGGTAGTTGTAGATCATAATGGATCCCAGTTCGTGTGGCGAGTCATTGTAATTATAGGTCCACGTTTTGGTATAGCCCCCATATAACGGTACCTCCCGATATTCGGTAATTTAATGATTTTTGCCACATTTTTTCACGTATTTGTCTGAAAATTGGTATTTGTAGG